CCTCAAGGTCTTAATCTTCAACCCCTGTGCCAACTCCCTAGAACTCCTCTCCTTCTCCCTTTTAGCTCCATCCTTGGCTCTTTCATTTTTGCCTCTTCTTTAACTTTGGGATGAAAGGAGAGGGGAAGTAGATTTTGAGGAACTACATGTAGACAGAGAGGAGGGAGTACAACAGTCCTATTTCTTCTAAGTTCATGGTGATTTCTAGGACAACTAAACCTTTCTAATTTTAAGGTGCCCACCTCTTAGCAAAGTCAGGGAGAAATAGTTTCATATATCATACTGTAAATCCAACCCATACTGGAGATTGGTGAGGTGGAGGTTCTGCCTCTAGAAGTCACTCAAGAATCCAAATATATAGATTCTGGCATCTTATAACATCCTCTGGAAATTGTAGTTCCAAGATCTCTAGAGGAAGGGAAGAGTGTCAAGATGGCACTGACAGAAAGTGATGTGCCTCACTTCTGCATACATTTTATGAATATAAAACACTACAAGGGACTTGGAATCCATATTTTCTCTCTTCAGGAAAGAGAAGAGCTGAATGTGAGATCTAGTGACTACTACCACATCAAGTTTGGGGATATAGGTTATTTTTAGCATTTGTGTCTTTGGAGTCTGTGTGTTATTCATACTTTCAACTTTGAAACTGTTTCCCTACTTGAATGATTGCAAGTTGAATCAAATTCAAATATATCCTTCACCCAAATCTGCTATTAGGAAAAACAAACAAATGAAACTTTGAATGTGAAATGAAACTACATTGGGAGCTTTTTTAAGTGTTCCAGTTTCATTTTCTTTTAGAGTTGTTCTTTGTGATAGCGTGTTTATTCAATTCCTGAAGTGTTGTCAAGTAGGTAGCATTTAATCTGTGAAAATTTTCAAGTGGCTCCTTTTTCTCCCTCAAGTGTTGTTGTCATTTTAAGACTGAAATGAACCATTTGATTTTTAAAAATTATTTATGACACATCAAGTAGCACTCAGTGTTTTGTCACAACGTTGAAACTGTTTCTGAAGGCCCACGTAAAATATGGCAGCAAGGTCGGGAGCCTTTTGTAGCGAACGTTTAGAAACATAACTCACCATTGGAACTGGTTATAATTCCTGGGTGCTGACATGAAGATTGATAATACTTAACTCTGATTTTAGTGATATTTGCCAATTTCATTGCTGTGGTCCTTTTCTTTCAAGTTATTACCTGGAACTGAAGTGATAACAAATGTTTTGTTTTATTCTGCCAGATAAAAGGTTAGAAGTTTGTATGTTACATGCTCTTAAGCACACATGCATGTGTGCACACACACATGTGCATGCACCCACAAATATACAATTGGATCAAAAGGAAATAACTCTTCTATAATGGAAAGATGGTCCTAGTTTTAACATCGGTGATTCATTCCCTTGTGGTTACATCACATATAAAAATTGGGAATTCAACCTTATGGATCTTTGTGCACTGACTGTATCATACAGTTCTAATTTTCTTTCTTTTTTCAGGGAAATGATAGTACTCTTTGCCAAGTATTATTATTGAGTCAACTGCCAAGGTTTGAGAGAGTGTCAAGGGCCTTTAAAATTATTTAGTGTTGAGTGAAGAGGTAGAGAAAGGTATTCCCTATTCCCAAACATTTTAACTTTTATGTCTCTACCCAATGTTGGAATATAATCTAGACTTGAAAGCTTTTCTGATTCTTTTTAAAATGATGTACATTGTTGAATGAATTCAGAACTTCAATCTGACTTAAATCTCACTCATTGATACCCAGTTTGGAACATCTCTTTCTAATTTTTAATAGAATGTATTCTTTCTTGCCTAATATTTTCATCTTTAGACTTCTGCGCATCAGAAGGCCTGTGTGCCTGTTTGTGGTTTTGCACCATCTGGAAGTTCAAATTTGACTTTAGAAATGATGTCATAGTTGCTTACTGCAAACTGGGCTGATGTTGTTTGAGAATTGGATGCAGTTCAGGTTAAAAAAATAAAATAAAATAAAAAAGGACCCTCAAGTTTTGTATCTTGATTCTAGGAGACTGTGTAAAGCTCTAAAGATAGAGTGAAGGTGATTGAAGGGCATGGTCCAAATTCCTTTGAAGTTAAGTACATGCTTTCCAGCACATGGAAAAATCATCTCCCACACAGAAGACCTCAGCTGGCACAGACTCCCTCCTGCCATGTTGAATTTGGGTGTTGCGCATAGTCTGTTGATCACAACCATCCTTGCTCTCTGTTTTATTCCAGGAGATATGTTCTCACAGCTAGGGTTGCTTTTCATCTCCTTGCCCAGGAAGATGCAGCAGGACCCTGATAGATCACACATGGAAAGAAGGTGCTACAAATATTAAGTGTATTATTCATCATTAAAGAGTGTTTTTTTTTTTTTTTCTAAACTCTCTCCAGCACCACTCACCACCTTCCATATTGTAATTTATTTGCACCACAGTTAAAATGGTGGGCATGTATTTTAGGTCCACATATGGGCCATCCAACTTTGATAACCAGAATGTTGAGCTGAGAGTTCCACAGTCATATTTTTTTTCTCTGAATCTCATTGAGTAGGCCTATTGCAAATATCTATAATTGATTGTAACCACTTCTAACTACTGCTATAATCTAAAGTGTTCAGCATGTTCTGGCAATTTCCAAGGACCTCACCAAATGCCCATGCTTTATGCATAAGCTAAATACACATATTGTCATCAGATAGGATGAAAACCCAAAGAGAAATAGTGGTGTTATTCCAGGTTGGTAGATGAAAATAACTTCTCACCCCCCACATCCCGTACAGGCTTGTACCACTAAGCCTGAAGATGAAGATAACTTTTAACAAAGATAAGCCACTTTAGAACTAAGATGCTTAAGCTTTGGTGTACCTGGCATAGGTTTGCTTTCAAAAAAGGGAAGAATCTCAGGACAAGATTATCTCTTCCACTTTACCAGCCCCTGTATCTGTATGATCGTTATGTGAGAAGAGATATAGCTATCTGATATTTGAAGAAACTATAGTTCTCAGGCTCTCTGATCACAGAGTGTCCACCCTCTCTCATTGTGTGGTCAGTAGTATTATGCCTTATGGGCTTCAAACACCTTTTGTCACTCCTTCCTCATGAGGCCTTCTAGATTCATCCTCTTTTCTGGGCCAGAACTGGAAAAACTACTCATTTACCTCCATGTCAATTTTGACCTTTAGAAATAAAGCATTGGAACCCCTTGCTTGGAAAGGGTAAACAAAGGAGTTTCTATTCCAGTAATTTTTATCTTTAATATCATCCTTCTTTGCTGGTATAGTCTACCAAAGACTGATTCCTGCCTTCAACATCACAAAATTTTAGGCATCAAGACCCGTCTCTTCTAACCTTTTTGTGTTACAGACGAACAAGCTGTGGCTGAAGGCTAAAAGCTGTGGCTGGAGGCTAAGTTGAGGAGAGTTGTTCATCCTGATTCTCACAGCTACATAGAAGCAAACTGGGGACCCAAAGCCTTGGGTGTTCTTTTCCCATTGTTCAAGTTGTTGTTTGACTCTGTGTCCTCTTAGTGTTTTTACATATCTATTTATTTTGGCTTATTATAGTATTCTTGCAATCTTTAAAGATTTTTCCTTTCCATCTAAATTTTACTTGACTATAACATAAAGAAGCAAAATATTCAACAAAAATTGTTATGAGATGCAGCAACCCTCGACTTCCCATCTTCCTATTTCTTCTTCCTCCAAACAATCCCCATTAATTATTTTTGCCTGGTTATTTTGACACCTCAACTTCATGGTTATTTATGTTGCTACCATTATTGATTTTTTTTGTATGGAAGGTGAGAATCAAACCTTTCATCACCCCAATACCCCATTGCCCATATAAACCCTGTTATTCCCTTCTTTCTCTCATAAGGGTTATATGATAATTTGGTTGCAGGCTTGTTTTGTTGTTATTATTTTGGTTTCTCTGGGTTCAATCCTTGGTACCCCCCTAAAAAATACAATTAAAAAGCACATGTCTTGGGAGTAGCATATTAGATATGATTATTCAGTTGACAATAGTGTCCTCTGAAGTCTCAATCTGTTATTGACAATAATTAATGAGAATAATCTTCACATAAAGTGTCATAGTTGGTTTTTAAAACTAGAACAATGGGTATTTGTAAACATAGAGATAAATACAATCTTGTAGACTAATATAGTAGAATTTAGAAAGACTATAGGGGATTAACTTTCAAATGGTCTTTTAATGGCCTTCATATTCTTTTTATTGTCTCATTTTTTTCTATCACCCCAGTGATTTTTTTTTCTATAATCTAGAATTTGAGTATATAAACAAAACTTTCTTTGCACATAGGGTTCAGAAGATCTTAAATATAAAAATAAAATTTATGTTTTATCTTTATATTAGTGAAAAACAGGAATTGTAATTTTCTAATTTTTGAGCTCAGGTAGAAATAGGATTTTTTTAAGTATTTGGAAAACAGTTTTTCATATAACTAAAGGATGGGTGTTTAATTTCTAGACCATTTCTTCCTCTGGCAACACTAATTTCCTCTTGGCAATATGTATTTCTCTAATTTAGGAATGTTTCTCTATGTGTCAATCTTGTTCTTCCAGATGCTCATGATGTTCTCTCCATGTATCTGGGGGATGCTGCAAATTGTGAGGAGTGCATTGCCCTCACTGGGCTCTCAGACATGGAGTATTATTGTGCTTTATTTCCCAGCCTAAGTGAATACATTGTTTCCTGAAAACAGGGAAGCAAACTTGGAAGCATACTACTATTTTATAAAGTCTTATTTCATAGAAACCTTATATTTAAAAAAAATTCCATTTAGATATGCACATAATAGGACTTTAAGGTAGATTACTGGCTGTTAAAATATATGGCATCAAGGTGGCTGTGAGCAATGGGTTGATCACCCTGTATTCAAGAAGCTCATGCTACAACCCACCCCTGCAAGGGCATTCCTGATGGTGATCGATACCCTCTTGGTAAAAACAAAACCTTCTTTTTCCTGATTTTAGGTAGATGCACTGAGATTACGACTGGAAGAAAAAGAATCTTTTCTCAATAAAAAAACAAAACAATTGCAGGACCTCACAGAAGAGAAGGGAACACTGGCTGGAGAGATTCGTGACATGAAAGATATGTTAGAAGTGAAGGAAAGAAAAATTAATGTTCTTCAGAAAAAGGTGAGTAGCTTTCATGTTGAGAGTTGGTATCATGCATGTTTTGTCATGTAGAGAGATTTTGAGCAGATGGAAAATAAATTTTCTTTAAAATTTTAGATTAGGAAGTATAAACTTTTTAGTTATTGACATTTTACTTGTGGTTGTATCATATCATTTTTAGCTTGGCCTAATTAAATTTTTACTTTATCACTTAAAAACTGAATAGAGTTTTTTTTTTCATTTGTCAGCTTAAACATGGAGGTAATTTTATAAATTTTGGTATAAATATAAAATAGTAGAACCAGGGTGCTGCTAGGTAAGTGATAAAACTTCTGCTTAGCATGTGTGAGGCCATGTATTCCACACTCACCAGTGAATAAAAAATATTAAGTCAAAAAGTGAGCTTATTTTTCATTTTTCCTTCTTGAGAGTTGATCAGTGTAGTTTATGGGTCTTTAATGCATTTTAGATTCATTTTATAGTTACATAATCTTTGGTTGGTTATATCCTGATGTCTTAGTGCATTCCTGCTGCTATAACAAAATAGCTGAGACTAGGCAATTTATAAAAAACAGAAATATATTTTCTCACAGTTCTGAAGAAAATTCCAAGATCAAGGTAGAAGTAGGTTCAGTGTCCAATGAGAGTGTTCTCTTTGCTTCCATCATATTGCCTTGTTGCTGCATCCTCTAGAGGACATATATGCCATTCCCTCATGTGATGGGATGGTTCCCTCTAGCCCATTTAGAAGGTTGCTAATCCCATTTATGTGGTCTCTGGTCTCATAACTTAAGTACTTTCTGTAGATTCCACCTCTTAATATTTTCACATTGGTGATTAAGTAACATTCAGACCATGGCAATTGCCAAATCCATGTAGATTATTTGGAGAGAAGAGTAATGTTTATACGCTATACTTATTTGAATCAACAGAGAGAATGTATAAGAAGTCCCAACCACAGTAACCCAACAAGAAGATGCTCAGCCTCATTAGGGCCCTTGTTTTCTTTCTTCTTTCAGTGGTTCCTTTTCTCCATTATAGGAGCCCTTGATTTTGTGACAGCACTGTGATTTTCTTTGTTTTAAAACATTTTTAGTTGTAGATGGACACAGTACCTTTAATTAATTAATTAATTTTTATGTGGTGCTGAGGATTGGACCCGGAGCCTCCTGTGTGCTAGGCAAGCACTCTGCCACTGAGCTACAACCCGAGACCAGCATTGTGAATTTCTTTTAGATAATTCCCATTTAATGATGTGTACAGTTTAGGGAGAACCATAGAGTGCCTTGCCTTCCTCTAGAAAAGGGGTCAGCAAGAAAAGAAACCAATTTCTGCTCTTTTATGAAAGACAAAAGGGGTTAGAAAGATATAAAGCACTCAGATTAGCATGCAATCATTATGCAAACTGAGTGGAAATCAATGGTGGGCCAAGGATACCACCCTAGTCAGGCATGTTGCTGGACACCATGCTGTAGCTACACTTGCCACCATCCTCTTGGTGTCACTTGCCATCATCATCTCTCACTCAGATCATATTAAAAGTATCCTAGCTGTTTTTCCTTCATTTATCCTTGTATTTCTTATAGTCTATTCTCAACATAGAAACTTACTCTCTGGTCAAAACTCTCCATTCACAACCAGCTACAAAATTTGTGGGGTCCAGTACAAATGAACATTTTGTTGTTGTTTTGTGATGCTGGGATCAAACCCAGGGCCTCACACATGCTAGGCAAGCACTCTGTCACTGTTCTATCCTCTCAGCTCAGTACAAATGTGGAGGGTTTTGTTCAAAAATTTAGAATTTCAAGATAGCAATAGCAGAACATAAAACCATGTGTGGGACCCAGGACTGCTGTACAAGTCACAGGTCCATGAAGCTGTACCACTCCCAGGGGCTTCCATTTTCACTCAGAGGTAATAGTGGAAGTCTTTATAAGGGCCCATGATGTCTTATATGATTGAGCTTCTGACTTCCTGTTTTGCTGGTCTCCCCTTTACTCATGTCATGTTGGCCTCCACTGCCTTTGCACTCTTCTGAGGGAGACATCAGGCATGCTCTCTTATGCTTTACTGTATTTCCCCATGGGGACACTAACCCTGGACTTGCCCTGCCTTGTATGGTAGCTATAAGCCTAAAGCTCCTGAATTGGGATGTGCTGTAATTGTGAAAAACCTACCAGATTTTGAAGACTTATTGTGAAAAGTATATTGTGAGACCTCTAATTAATAATCTTTATATTATATGTTTAAATACAAATATTTTGGACATAGTAGGTGAGCTAAAATATAATTTTAAAATTTATATCACTTTTCTTTTTTTTGTTTTTTAATGGTCTACAAGAAAATTTTATATTACCTATGTGGTTCCCATTATGTTTCTATTGGACAGAACTGCTCTAAGTATTCACATGACTCATGCCTTTTCTCCTTTTGGGCCTCTGCTCAAATGGTACTTTGTTATAGACCTTTGCCCTTTGTTAAAGACATATAGTAGCATTATCACATTCTACATGTTGTTCCCTTGTGAAATTTTATTTTTCCTGCCAATTTGACTCAAGGACTGAGCCATGCAATGATGACCATGACAGTTGGTACTTATCTGTTTCTGTGGAGAGGTTGGGATGAGATTATCAATGAATTCTTAATATCCAGACCCCTACTTGTCCACACTTCTGCTTTTCCATAAGTGAGTTCTCTGGGCTTTTCAAATAAAGAGAGACATCAGATCTCCTCTCAGTGCATTCCTGTTCTATTATGGTGAACCAGAACCTTTAAATGGTGTAATTATGTGCAGAATAATATGGCTTTTATTTTATAGAATAATTAAAGTTAGATAAAAATCAAATCATTGAGATTTCACCAAGGAGTTAAAAGTTGAGATCCTGCATTTGTTTGGAACTCTCAAGATGTTGGTGATTTGGTGGGTTGTATTATGAGTTCATTTCTGTTGAAATCTTCATGGACAAGGACCTCATTATTGGATTCCCATCTCACAGTACCCATTTGGTTGATAATAGATAACTGAAAGAGACCTGGGCAGAGATAAGTAAAGACCCTTGAATCAAAGGGTTTTTGTTGGGTGGGGTTAATAGAGAAATGTTACATTGGCATACATTAGAGCATGTTCTAATGATTGAAGAGAAGACTTTTCATTTAAAATCTCTAGCAATGAGTGACGACAAGAGCTGAAGACCTGCTGGAGTTCTTATGTTGCATGCCAAGCACTATTTACTTACTCTTAACTACAACCTGATGAGACAGGTGCAATTATAAATCCAAGGAACTGAGAAATATTTAGGCTTATGATAAGCTTGCTCAAGGTCACATAGTCTAGATATAAGAATTTGTTTTATCTTTGAGTAAATAGAATAAATTGGTTAATGCAAATTAAGTGAATGAACCTCATTTTCTTTTGATCTCAATTATTATGTTGATGACACCAGGTATGAGACTGAGTTGAAGAAGAATGTCCCAATTGCTCATTTGCAAAGAGTTGAAACTAAATGTTCTTTCCCTTGAGGAATAACTGACAAAAGATTTTTCAGTAAAATTGTGAGGTGGCACCTTCAGTGCATAAGTGACAAATGATCACTTTTGCTAATATGAATATTTTGAAAAGAAAAATTAAACTTTTTTCCATTCCTAGACTCAAAGGTTTGGGAACCAATTTGGATGCTCTGTAATAAAATTGGTGTCTCTTATAGCTCCTTTTGGCAACATAATTATGATCTTGTTTGTTTGAATCATGTAAAAAATGTTTCATGTATACTTGGAGGGTTTGCTTCCAGTTTTTGAACTAAGTGTTTACTGACAGGAGGGTATTAAACCACTGACAACATGGTAAATGGACAAGATTGCTGTTAGACCCGCAGTGTGAAAGGGAAATTATCTCCCAATAAATGATGTCCATAATTCAGAAGCTGGTTTAAACTGTGGAAATAATAGAGAAGCCAGTGGGCCACTGAAACATTGGGGTTGGAGACCCTTTGGACCACATTTAGCACAATTGTCTGTTTTAGAGAAGGCCTGGATCTGAACAGTACAATCTTTGGATTACTATTTTGGCATGGAAGAATAATAAACCCATGTCAATGTCAGAGGTGCAACATTACTTCGTGGGCATCCTGCACTGTTTTGATGCCAGTAGAACTGGGTAAGCTCCTTTCCTATCCATATTTAAAGTGGCAGAGCTAGGCTTGCACCTCATATATGTAAGTTTTGCTTTCAGAGCCTTGGGTCTCCAATGTCTTGTGTGTTCTGTAAGTTCTGTAGACACATATGGGTATGAAGATTTAAACATTTTTGTCACTTAAGGAATGGACTGAAACTGAAGAGAGAACCCCACGTGGCAGGACAACTCTGATCAATCTTTAGTAAGGAGACAAAAATTATCCAAAATGGGCTTTTGGCCCTAATTTCATATTCTTAACTCCATAATGCAAAATATGGAGTTATTTTAGTAGGGATAAAAATATACATGTATGAAAAATGTTTAGTGAACTGTCCCCTGCGGCTGTGATACCAGTCTGAAGAGCGTAATTTTCATGCTAGAGCCACAGAATTCTGTTCCCACACCTGAATTCAAACTGTAACTGATGAAGTGCTACTTGACTATTGAGTTTTTGTAGGAAATGTCATAAAACCTTGATGACATTGTACATTTGGAAAGTGTATAATGCCTAGCATTTTAGGACATGGTAGTATTTTTTGAACCAGATCAAATTCAGACTGTTATGCAGCTCGTAGATTCTTACAGCATAAACTTGCTACCCAGGAATTTAAAAAAGCCATTAAAATTGGACAAAAATTCTATCTCCATTTCCATTCTAGGTCTCAGACCCACGGACAGTGTGAATTTATAGAGTAGAGTTACTTTATTTATTGGGGGTAGGAAAACAGATGTTGATCTCTCTGGAAGCCAAATTCACTGGCTGCCTACTGAACTTGTGGATTGCCCTCTAAGTTGAAAAAGGGAGGGAGGTTGAGTGAAGTTGGCTCCTCCAAGTGGTGTATATGGACTT